TGTTTTTTTTTTTTCCCCTGTGCGTCTGATTTCGATATTATATCCTCGGGATTTTTTTCATTTTTTGCTAAGAAAAAATATCCTCGGGATTTACATTGACAATCATGGTTTCAACGTGAATAATTAAAGTATTTTGTTTGTGTGTCTAAGACCAAAAAACATTGGGTTGACCTATTTATCAGGAAACCCGGGGTGGCAATTCCCAAAATGCGAACCGGGACCTACAAAACACTAAAACACTATTTGCACAATCCGTAATGTATTTTATACATTTGTCTAACCACGTTGAAAAACACATATGTTTTCAAAATGAGAAAAGGCAGCAGCACACGAAGATAGAAAGAAAAAACAAGAAGTCACATATAACGTTAAGAGTCTAGAAAAAAGCTATGTGAATTTAAAGAGAAAAGACACAAATGTTTGTTAAAAAAGAAAAGGGTTTTTGCTATATTCACATTAATGTTTTCTTCATCCTACCAATTTGGCCTCATTAATTATATCCAACCCTTTTATCAGCTTATCGTCCCACTTGTCTTTTGCTTTGTTCACATCGCAATTCACACAAATATAACCAAACATAAGTCCCTTAATTATTATTGCTAGGAATAGACGTTACACGTCATTGATATTTTGCACTTAATTAGGAAACAGAGAGGAAAATCAATTTCTACTTCAAAACCTACGTGTGGTGGCAGAGTAGTTAAAGATCTGGATCTCATAACGTAAAATTTGCATATATTTCAGAATTGAGATTCGATTTCATTCCCAACAAAATCGCTACATGCATGGTCATTTGGAGTATTGAACAAAATCGGGTCATGCCTTTTAAAACTAAATACTGTATGTATAACAACAATTTTTGTATATATATTTTTATCAGTGTAAATGGGTTTGAGATGGAGCAAACCAGGGCTTGATAATTCTGAAATATAGATGGGCCAATAGTGGCCCAATACATTTACCAATTTTCGCTGCCTCCACGAGAGAATTTGCCACTAACAGAAAGGAGAAAATACACAGAGCGAGCCAAAGAGATCTAGTGAGAAACCTGTGATTACTAACCACACTTGAAATCAATAAAAAAAAAGACCAACCAAACAAACAAAAACTGTAATCACAGTGATTGAAAATCAAAAACGAGAAATAAAGGAACAATATTTGCATCAGCTCATCTCAGAAAATTCCAACATTTCCTCCAGAATTCTTATCCTTTCACTGATAATATCGAAAACCCGAAGATCATACGAGAGCAACAACTATATCTCTTCTCTTCTTGGTTTTCTCTTTTTGTCCTTTATTCCACCTGCTGCAAGCAAATGTAATCTGACTTAACACGTGTAGACGAGTTCGAGCTCCGGTCTCAACCACGAGCCATCATCACGTCCAAGTGGTCCAAACTTCTTTCAGCTGAAGACGAAGACA